AATGGCTACTGTTCAGGAGGAACAATACTAAGGAAGGGGCAGCGTTACTACAGCAGAAGTCACGCAACGCTGGTAACACGTGATGAGTTTCTAGAAGGATCAGGGAACATTACGAATACAAAACCTTTTCTTAAAAACTTGTGAACCTTAGTACTTTTATAAACAGGTTTATTATGGCTTAGCTAAATACGAAACCATGTCTCAAGAACTTGTGAACCTTAGTACTCGTATGATACACAATTTAATCTTAATTTATTTATTGTTCACATTGCATGCCATTAACAAACATACACCTATCAATTCTTTCCTGAACAACTGACATTAGAAATGTGTTTGTTTAATTTTAAAAATATAATATCTATTTTTTTCTATGAGCCTAGATTTCTGGGACACCATGTATTAACATAGCTGGCAACTGTAACAGCTTTGGGTGTGCTCTTGTAACTTCTATATCCATGTTCCTGAAACCTCATATTTAAAACAAAAAATTAATTAATTTTCATTAGTAATGGAACTTATTTTACATGAACAGACTACTTACAAATATCCTGAAATGTAATTACAAGACTTTACTGAGTGATAATATGTAGGTTTTTAAACATGCAGGTAAACTTTAGCAATGTAGATATTTTCATACTTTTCTATTATTTATACTTATTTGACTTTTAAGTTTTCTAGTTGTGAAAATTAATATTTCTTTTCTCAAATGAATTATTCTTCATCCCATTTTTTTAAATTGACAAACTTATTTTTATATTAATATTTCATTTAATTTTTGGCCATAAGAATTTATCTTTGACATTTCTTCAAAAAATGTTTTGTATACTTTCTCTAGTGTAATCATCATCATATTTATGTACAATGCAAACATGTCTCCATGAAGATTTGACAATAAACAAAACTTTCCATCAACTTAAAAACATATCTTTGAAGGGAAACTTTGAGTTTTATGTTTGAAACAGTAGATGTAAAAAATATTTATAAATAATATCAAAACATTTAACAAGGCTTTTGTTTGGATAATATACCGGCACCATCCTGAAAAGAACAGTGAGCACAATATGTATGTTTTAATCACCAAGTTGATATCTTGTTATTGTTTACTTTACTACTTGTTAAACTAGAATTTAAAGTCAGTTTACACCAAAATGATATCAATCTACTTTTTGCTTTCCTACTTGTATAACTAGGATTTAAAGTCAGTTACACCAAGTTGATATCAATCTATTGTTTACTTTACTACTTGTATAACTAGGATTTAAGATCAGTTTACACCAAGATGATATCAGTCTACTGTTTACTTTCCTACTTGTATAACTAGGATTAAAAGATCAGTTTACACCAAGATGATATCAGTCTACTGTTTACTTTCCTACTTGTATAACTAGGATTAAAAGAT